CATGCAGAAACATGTGGCAATTGATCCTGAATCACTTGAACAAAATGACACAACCACATGTTCCATCTGTCTAAAAGTTTGCAAAACACCTGCAAGCCTTGGAAGACACATGCATGTCCGTAAAAGTTGAGCACCTCTTTATTTTACTGAGCACTCATTTGTCATCCATATATATATATATATATATATATATATATATCACATTGAGTGCTAGTCTTAATAAAATAGTGTTTGATCGAGAATAACAGCTATAAATTATATATTGATAATAATACATTTTTTCCACAAATAACACAATCTTCAGATGCTGATTGAAAACTGACCATTACATAATTTAAATTTTGATATACATTACATTCAAAAGTTTGAGGCCACCCTTGGTAATTTTTTAAATTAGCCCCCAAAAGTAGTTGTTTTGTATTTAAATAAGAGAGAATTATTATACATGGTTAAAAGAAAGTGAGACATGATTTCTTATTAGAAATTTTATTATGACAAAAAGAAAAAGCATTTTATGATTAAATTTTGCTCTTGTCAAAATAGCCTTGATTACTGCAGCACAATTTTTTGGCATTCATTGTAAGCGTTTCTCAACGTATGTTTGATAATTGATTCCATTTTTTTTTTTTTTTCACTGACTCTAAGTGGTCTTTTTTATTTTTTATTTTTTTTCACTCTTCTGTCAAGTTCATCCTATGCTAATTCCAGGGGTTACTTCAAACTTTTGAACTGTAGCATATATACCAGACTATAATAATAGTGGAGCAGTCCATATTTATTATTTACAGGGTTTATTTAACAAAAAAAAAAAAATAAAATAAATAAAAATAAATGTAAAACAATAAATAAGGTTAAAAATAAATATAAATAAATACAAAAAAATAATATATACACATATACCATAGACAGAATATGTGAGTAACAAGGAAGTTTTAAAGAAAATGGAGAAACTGGTATTAGCAATCAGAAAGAGAAATTTGAAATTTCTGGGACACATAATGAGTATAAAAGGCTTGGAGAATCTAATCTTCAGTGGATGTGGGTGATTGTGAGTTTTCCCCTGTTTCTAGTATGACCTGTGAGTGTTAGATTCCCCAGACTTTCTTTCTTCATTATGTGTCCCAGAAATTTCACTTGTCTTTCCGATTGTTAACAGCAGCTTACTCATTTTTAAAACTTTTTAAAAATATCCTATGTGCACTTTACCTTTTAAAAAGATTTCATCAGGCAAAAATAAATTTTTATTTGTTAATTATGCTAACTCTTGTGATCCTACCTAGATTTGAACTCACCATCCTTGGCTAACAAATTAGACTTCTTCTCCTCAGCTTAATGTATGTGTTTTAAGCAATGGCAGTAGCAGGTTTGTCTCCCTTCCTGCCAAAGTGAATTTAATCATTAGGCAGTATTTAAGTTTTTTAAAATTTCTCCTCAGGGAATATTTTTTTCTGTTGTACTTGGGTGATGGTGTGTTTCTGTGAGTGTTAGGTCATCTGAGTGATTTTATTTTTTTTTTTTTTTTCTTTCTTTCATTATTTAAGTTCCGCACTAATTTAGTCTGGTTAACTGTTGTCTGACACATTCAGTGATTGGGTGTGTGTGTGTGGGGAGGTGTTATTACTAATACTGTCTTGTTTAGTTTCTTATAAATATATCCTGCTTTACATTGTAAATATTTATTGGGGTTTATAAATTTTTAAAAGTTGTTTTTTGTATTCTCTACCCACTACACACAAAATTGTACATATAGGGACTACTTGCATTATTTGGACTGTTATCATCATCTTCATTGCTATATTCACAATCTTTCAGCCATTGTATGCTCCAGCCTTTTTCAGGTGATTGGAATTTTGAACCAAAGCCTTTATTTCATCTTCAAGGACACATGGCCCAGTGGATAAAGACATTTGTTAGATCCAGTGTCTAGATTCAAAGAGTTGTGAGTTCAATACCAGGCCACAGCATTGTTGAACCACATCTTGGAGAGTTGAGTTAAAGGGAAATAACTGAGACATCCGGAAGAGGCATGGCACATGGACAAAATAAAGGGTTTGTTTGAAATTCCAATCACCTGAAGAAGGTGAAAAGCTGAAACATTGTGAATATGGCAATGAAGATGAGGATAGCAGTCCAAATAATGTAAATAATGCAAGTAATCATAATACCTCATCTCAGAGATATAGACAGATATGAGGACTAGTTAGGACTTCATAGAATCTCTGAGGTATTATGGAGGTTGTAGTAAGAATGGTAAGTAAAAATGAGGCGTTTTGGTGCAAGAGTAATTGTAGCATGTCTGGGTCAGTGATTGTGGCTAGCTAAGTTTTAGTATAAGACAGATGAGGACCAGCCTTCCACTTCCCTATTATTGGCCTTGTGTCTTATTTGTACTTTTATACAATAAATATTAATATTTTTCTGTTGATTAAGCAAGATCCTGTTAATGGAATTAGATATATGTAGGTAGGAGTGTGCAATATAAAAACATTGGTTATAATTATATAGCAAGAAGAAAGGTTGTAGGGATGATAAATTTAATATCTAAATTTTTCAGGTTTAATTTAAAATTTAGCATTACTACAGGCTACAATGTTTCCGTTTGGTACATAATTGTAAACAATGTTTTCATTTATATCCCACACTCCTCTATACATATATGTAATTCCAACAATAAGATCATTATTTTCACCTGATGAAGTCCATTTGATGGATGAAACACATCATATAAAATTTATATATCACATTTTTTTTAATCATTTCACCCCAAGCAAGGCAGGAATGCCACTAGTGCACAGGGGGGGGGTATAAGAACTGAAAGGGAAGACTGAGAATAGGAAGGAAAGGACAAAAGATGAACAGGATTCAAGAATACAGAAGATGACGATTGAAGTTGTGTTTAAATTTTTGAAGATTGTAGTTATTAGGGAAGCAAGTAAACCAAAGGGAGTTCCACAGGTGAGAAGTGCGAGAAAAGAAACTGTTGGAGTAGAAGTGGCAATTACATTTAACTATTTCAACAGTAAAGGAGTGGGATCTAAATGCCAATCTAGTAACACACTTAAATTCATGTATTTTGGGGCATCAGGAGGAAAAAAGGTCATCAGAGCAGTTGCCATGCGAATATTCTTCCTTTCTCTTAATGTTGTTCCTTTTGATTATCCAATTATATACTACTATTACTACTACTATGAAGAACAGTCCTGAAAAAGGTGATGAAAATAACAATGCCTAGTTGTGGGACATTCATATATGAAATAGATGGTTTCGATAGAAATAAGACGTCCTCTTAAGCCTCTTGATTCCTTGGGGAACATAGGACTGCAACAATACCTCTCCAAAGTTCTGGGTAATAATCTTCAGCTCAGTCCATGCTGTGCCAGCTGCCTTTTACCTCTGCATCAACACTTCTGCCTCAAGTCTGTTTTAGTTGACCTACTTTACTCTTTCTTTGTGGATTCCAGTCAAGGGCCTGCCCAGTGACACTAGAAGCAGGCTTGCGGAATGTGTGGCCAATCCATTTCTTGATGTCAATCTTAATTGGGGCTTGTCTAGACCTGTCCCATAGTTGGTCATTGGAGACGATTTCAGGCCACCTGATATTGAGGATGCTCCTGAGACATTAGTTGTTAAATGTCTGAAGTTTGTGGGTGTTGGTCTTGGTTACCTGTCAAGTTTCTGAGCCATGAAGTAGGATCAACTTGATGTTGGGTGTTGAAGATCCAGGGATCTTGTTGTAAAGTGATAGGGCTGTTTATCTCCAGATTGGCTACAGAGTGTTAAAAGCGGAAATAAGATGTACATAGGAATTTCATTGGAAGCTAATTCATTACTCTAAATTTTGATAGTTTATTTTGATGTTAGGTAAATTGATGTGTGGATTTTCAAATGCTTGCAATATTTCATAAATTGTAAACCTACATTGTAATCTCACTGAAAGTACTGTTTCTTGTTTGATGATCTAAGTTAAGCAGTGTTGAGCACTATCAGTACTTAGATGGGGGATCACTTGGGAACACTGAGTACTGTAAGTATCCTTCTACAATCTGAAATGTTTCAGCTTTGTATAACCCACAAAGGGTTGATAGGTTATAAAAAAAAAAACAAACAAAAAAAAAAACCCAAATCAGTCAATCAGAAATTGTAAACATTAAAGGAAATACTTTGGAATCTGAAAGTTTTGTGGTTTATCCCAGTGCTTCTCGACATGGTGGTCTGAAGACTGGTGCTAGTATGTTAACGAACAGCTACCAGTGTCCAGGTCATGCTAAAGAATCATTTGTAAAGATAAAGGTCATATAATTTTTGTTTTTGTGTTAATAGGCTGCTTACTTTTTTATTATTTTTTTATGTTTTGATATTTAATTATTTTTTGCAAAATAAATAGAAGATAAAAAAATAGTCAACTTTTATTATATTCATTATATATATCATTTCCGGTATAAATTAATATTACCACAAAATATTACAGGTACATGACACATTGAAAAAAAAAATGCTGGTCCACAATAGTTTGAGAAGCACTGGTTTAGCCTACAATTAAACTTGGTTAAAAAGAAAGACTTTTTTTTTTTTTTTTCGCAATTTTTTAAATGAAGACTTATGCTCTCATTTCAGCCATTGTAGCCTCCAGTCTCAGGAGTCTGTTGTAGTATAAGAATCTACGCCCATGGATTGAATAAAGTGTTTTCTTTAAATTTCCAAACTTAACAACTATGATGGATACTTGAAAGGATTGGTAACTACAATGGCTGAAGCATTATTATAGCAACCAAGATGAAAGAACTAGTCCAAATAAATCAGTGTATGATATTAATAATAATGATAATCTAGATAAGCACAAAACCTATCAATGGCTGAAGAGTGCAGGGCTAAAAGTGAAGACAGAAGTATACCTTTTCCCAAGAGTATTTACACATAAATGAATATAATGAACCCAGTGTGAATTGGAACTTTGTTCCCTGATTAACACTTTGAAGCATTACACTACCCACACATCCAAGATTACAGTACCTGGTATTCCCAAGTAGTCACCCATCTAGGTACTAACCAAGCTCAACATTGCTTAACTTCAGTGATCATATGGGAACTGGTGTTTCAACATGATATGGCTATAAGCCTTGCCTGTTTTGGCTTTTTTCATAATTGGTAAACTCAGAAGGTACCACAGCCAAAATGTTGTGACTATAACAACCAAGGTGAGGACAGCAGTCCAAATAAATTTGTGTATGATAATGATAATTCTTTGTCTAAAAAATTTAAGCCAAAAATTGCTTAAATCTTTGTTTTGTTTCCACTATGGTTACCCTGATAAGCAAATTAGCTGATACTGATTACCAGCCATTTAATGGATGCAATCCTTGTTTCCACCATCCACTTAATTTTCCATTAAAACCTTATATTTAAAAATTAACATCTGTCTATATTTCAGAGATGAGGTATTATGTACACTATTTACATTATTCGGACTATTGTCCTCATCTTTGTCACCTTCGTCATCTTAAAGGGTTCAGTTCGACATTCCAACCACCTGAAGAAGGCCAGAGCATACAATGGCCGAAACTTGTAATAAATATGGCAACAAAGATGAGGACAATAGTCCAAATAATGTGACTAGTGTAAAAATTAACAATTTTTCATTATTCACTTAATCAAATTTAAAAAAAGAAAAGAAAAAAAATGTCCATCCTAAGAAATGCTTTGAATTTTTTAAATTGTTGCTGAATTGGGTAAAAATTTAGAAAAACAGTTTAACAGCATGTGCAATATGTTGCTTTGAATAGTTAAACCAAAATTTAAATGCAATCAGCAATCTCTTTCAATTACGAAGTTTATAATTGTAGAATAACATTCCTGGAATTTCTTGTCTTTGGTTCAAGTCCAGAAATAAATTGAAAATGTGAAGAGTTCTTGGTCACACCAAGAAGGAATTTAAAACTAAATTCTGATGTTTAGTCAGATTTTGAGAAGTGCGTTGTGCCAAGAACTTCTCAGCTCTCCCTTGTGTTAACACTAATGGACATAAAATCGAAGCCCAATTTATTATTGTTTAAGTAATAAACTAATCTCCAAAGAGTTATGACACACCGGATAGTGCTGAAAAGTTCTAAGCCTGACAAAGAGAATATTCCAAGATAGATTCTGAAATTTGGTCAATTGCTCAGATTTTGGGAAGGATTTTTCAGTAGCCCTTTGTGCAGGAGTAGAGGTTTAACCCTTGTTTCCTGTTCAGGGTTGGGTTTCTGATCCTTTCTAAAGTCTACTTTACCTCTATACCCATAACGTCTCTGCCTTAATTCTGAAATTTTATTCACTAACTATTTATTTCTCTCCAATAGGAGTTGATAAATTTGCCTATAATCTGTTTACCTCCCTTTCATGCCTTTTGAAAATGAGTAAAGGTTTAGCCCTAGTTACCAGTTTAGAATTGGGTTTCTGGTCCCTCCTAAAGTCTACTTTAACTCTATACTTTTAGCGCTTCTGCCTAAACACTGAAATTTTATTTACAATTTTTTTTTTCTTCATAGATATGGTCATCAGAATTAGAACAATCTAACCTAATAGACTAAATAAATGGTCCAGTTCAAAATTTCCTGTAGGTTACCCAGATTGGCCAGAACTTGATTAAGACTGGAGGGAAAAATGGCCGAAACATTATAATAATAATAAGAAAGATGAAGATAATAGTCTATATGTAAATTATAAATTTGGTATGACTTTCAAATATTTTCTTTTCTTATCAGCAAATAAATGAAACTGAAGGTATTAATCATACAATATCTATCAACCAGGAGATAACTCATAGCAGTTTTTGTGATGCTGACCATGAGTTTTTTTTAAGCATTTCACCCCAAGCAAGGTGGGAAGCCACTAGCATGTAAGGGGTTACAGAGAGTTGGAGCTAGAGGAAATAGGAGTGGTAGAGGAAAGGATGAAGAGAAGGATAGGAGATAGATCAGGGCATCTGGAGATTGACATTACATTTGAATAGTTGGAGATTATAGCTATTAGGGAAACAAGAAGAGTGGCGGGAGTTCCACAGGCAAGAGGTGTGAGACATGAAGCTATTGGAGTAGAAGAGACGTCTACATTTAACAGTTTCAACAGTGAAAGGGTGTGAGCGAGATACCAGCCTAGTAGAATGCTTAAATTCATGAAGTTTTGGAACCAGCGAAAACAGCTCCTTGGAGCAGTTACCATAAAAGTATTTGTAAAAAAAAAAAAAAATACAGAGGGAGGTGAGAGAGTGACTGCAGATGAGATGCCAGATCAGGGCCAATTACATTGCATATCTGTCTCTGGATCTTATCAAGAACCTTGAGACAAACAGAAGGAGCACCAGACCATATATGGCAGCAATACTCCATGCAAGGGCAAATGGTTGATTTGTAAATTTGAAGGATCGACTCTGGCGAGAAAAATTTCCTGGCACAGGGAGCCAACATTCCTTGTGGTGGACAAAGCTATTGACTCAATGTATTTGTTCCATCTCAGGTCAGTAGTCAATATGAGGCTGAGTAGTTGCAAAGAGGAGCTCTCAAGAAGTTGAGAATCAGACATTCTAATGAGTTATGATTTTTGTGGTCTTGCCATCAAGACAACAACCACATATTTTTTTTTGGTGTTTTTAATGCAAACAACTGTTACCCTTGATCAAAGGCAGGAAAGAAAAAACATACTGGCAACTAAAAATGAACTTTTTATATATAAGACATATTGAAAATATAACACATAAACGAAGCATTTAACCATTAGCACGATAGAGGCGAAAATTGTCACCATAGAATTCTCTCTCTTTTGCACATTGTAGGCACATTCTGTCACCTTGAGAATGTTGCAAAGGGAGAGAATTCTATGACAACAACTTTCACCTCCAGCATCCTAAAGTTTAAAAAGTAACAGAAGTGTTCAATATCCATGCTAGTTGGTGTTTGAAGCCAGATTTCATTGACCTCTGGCAGTTAACATGTTAAGATATGTCATAAATGATTTAAAAATAACAATGCTAATACTTTTATCTAGTGAAGAAAATGGTGAATTACCTCGTTGTGTCTTCTATATCGGAAAATGTGGCGAAAAAGAAAGTTACTTACTTAAAAAAGGGCATATGTTCTATCCAAAATAGAAACAAGTCAGTCACAGGTGTTGCCATAAATGTATCTCAGATGTGCTAATATTGTGTATCCTCTCCCACCTGACAACCAATGAAAAAATTGGTCCTTTAATAAAAGCAGTTGGCATTCTCAAATTGGGGGGAGAATGAAACAAATTCATTTATTTTGTGACCGTGTCTGTCAGCTGGTGTGTTGGATTTCTGACTATTTATGTGTATTGGGATTTGTGACATTGGACCTGCAAATCATGATTTTGACATTTGTTTCTGCCTCTGGATCTTTAAGTTTAGACTTGCAATTTGTTTACTGTGCTGCCACATCAATTTTTGAACATTTTAAAAACTAAAACAGCATCAAGTGGGAAAATAAGTATTTGGGATTTTATATAATTTTCAACAAATGACTCTGGGTTAATCATATTCCCTTTTAAGATTAAAAGAAAAATCATTAAAAAATTTGATAGGTTTCAATTTGAACATGGACCACAATAAAACCTGATAAAAAGATAGAGACCATCCTTTGACCTTTTTAAATTGCAATTAATTTTGCTTATTGTCACTTAGGCATTGTCGATGGCATTTCATAATATACAGAGGGATGCAAAAGTTGGTATACACTAAGTATTATGGCAGTATTACCAGTATTATAATAGTGGTTCTCAGATTCATTTAAATTTAATTTTGTTAATTTATTAAAATCATTTTTAATATTTTTATTTTCATAATTTTGATTTTTCAATAAATAATATTAATAAATGTTTTGCGGGTGTAGATTTAGATTTCTAGTCTCTGTTTTAAACCTCTTAAAAGAGGATCACAGCTAATTATTGTCAGTTTGAAGGATCAAATTTAAATTAAAATTGGCGTCAGAGTTCAGTACGAAATGAATTTAAACTCGGTACTCGATTGGCAGCAAGGTCTCATCATTTCATAGTTGAAATTGGCTAGATCTAACTGCAAGTTCTATGCTAACTGTTTCCTCTATCACACTTCTTACTTGTGGAACTCTTCTATCTTATTGCATCCCAATCAACTTTAATCTTCAAAAATTTAAATACAGTATCAATCGTTATCTTCTGTGTTAATACCTGTTCTTTTATTGTCCTCTCATTAATAGTGTTTTTGTATTTCTCATATTCTCTAACTTGTAGTAACCCCTTTCATGTCTCATTGAATAACTTGGACAAGTTTTGTCTATTTTCAATAGGATCTTCTCATATTCACTGACAAGCTTCTTAGTATCTTTATTATTAAAGTAAAAGAGAAAATTACTATGTTGACACATATTCATTTATTCTGAGTACTTTCGACATTAGCACAATGTTGTTTTATAAAGGGTGTTCCAATAACTTGGACCGATTTTAAATGTGAATTAAGTTTAAGCATCTAATGACTTATTTCTTTTTCTTTCAGATTTAACAACTTATGTCTTTGTTAATCTTTCCATGGTTGAAATTGCCAATCAAACAATGTATTAAAGTTATCAAAGCTTATTATGAAAATGGACATTCAAACAGAAATGCATTTCACACACTTCACAATTTTTTTGGTCAACTTTATCAACCAACTGAGACTGCAATTGGAAATGATGTAATGTTGATGTAGAGAGGTAGGACACAGATTTTCAGCCACATTCTCAGGCACTGCAGCAATGTTTTCAACTGAATGGCATAAACGAGCACACAATGGTGTTTTCACATCTGCCACTGACCCAGTTTGTTGGAATTTACGAACACTTTTTCTAATTGCACTTTTGAAACTTTAACACGTTGTTTGATTGTTAATCTTTCCATGGTTAAAACTGCCAAAGACTTAAGTTGTTAAATCTGAAAGAAAAAGAAAAAAATCGTTAGATGCTTAAACTTAATTCACATTTAAAATTGGTCCAAGTTATTGGAACACCTTTTATAAGAGAGAGGAATGAAGATAATGTTGTGCAAATATTTCTGATGAAAATGCATATGCAAGTTATGATCTCCAAAAATGAGAATTGATATCAAA